TGGGGCAAAGTGGCGGAAATTGAATCCTATTAGGTTCCACTACTTCCTTATCAAGAAAAACTTATATAAGCAACACGTCTCTACACCATAAACATGAAATTTTACACCACAAAAGGCAAAGAACGATGACGAAGACTCAAGCATAGTTTTTCTTATTTGTTTTATGAATTCTATTTTGTTTATCATAAGAATTACGAGTAGCTATAAACTCTTTAGTTTCTATGATTTTATTCGAACCTATGTGGGGTTTGTGAAGCCAACTCTATGATTTTATGCAAGTATTAATATTCGATTATTTTTTCTACTTGATTTATTAAGTGCATGAACTTGATCACTTTATGTACTTTATTGTTATTGTTGAATGCAAGAACCGAAATATCGGTTTAACAATTAGAATTGTGGTAGAAGAACCTTTGTTGCGTTATTATAGGAATATAGTTATTTACTTAGGTAGCCAATACTAAGATTTGTGCTAATGCTTAGTTCTTGATTGAATTGCGTAGGAATACAACAATTTAATCATGATGAATAATATAATCATAATACACTATATTACTTGTTCGATACGTGTACTTGTGTGTAGAAATTCGAATCAACTAAGGACGTTGTAGCTCCGTATATCAATGCTAAAGGCACAACTGACTTTGAAGAACTTATTCTAATGAGAAGCGATCCTACGGGTTCCAATCATGTCCACACCACCATGCCAATCGTGGATCTCCACAACTCAGAGGAAAGAGTATCGCTCAACCACCGGTGTTTTTCCTGCGAACATGCTCCTTGAATCCCGCACCCTATGTCCTCACTCGTTCAGCCTCTTCCACATGTGTCGACCCAGCGGAACGAGTTGACTCCTTCTGCAACCCAACACACACGTGTGACATCATGCCATGTTGTGCTGAGGTCACATTTCCTATGCCCACGCCGACTGGGATCTCCCCCTCCTCTAATTTCGAGCCAATACATTGTTTTGTGCATAGCTTTTCGCCAGCAGCTCCGAATTTTATAAAATTTGCGGCGATGGACTCCAAATTTTTCTACACTACCGTCAATAACCCTCAAACTATCGGAATGTTTCTTTGCCACTCTACTACAACATTAATTCAACGAATTCTTCGCTCGGCTCACCCAACAAACATCATGGACTGGTAAAAATGTTACAAATTTTCTAAGTACTTCAACCCGGGAAATTCAAGAGCCGTATTTTGCCTGGGGGCAGGCGGCTCAGGCCGTCGTAATGTTACAACTTACTCCAATAATTTCAGCGCCTGGCCGCCGCTGCCCTACAACATCTTGGCTTCTTAAGGCGGATGACTATTTCTATATTACTCCAAGACAGTCCGACGGGCTCGTGGCCCATCCTGGGAGTGGGGACTTATCAATGTGCCTAGTTGGTCTTTAACCCAAAAGGCCCAAAAGGCCCAAGAGGCTCATTAAAATAAAAAGCCCAACACAAAGGCTCTTAATTAAAACCTTTTAAAAGCTTATGGGAAGAAACCTTATGTTTCTTGTGCCACATCAGATTTCTACTAGAAGTTTCTCTATTCCTTCATCTATAAATATGTGATTCAACTCACATAATGCAGTACGTACTACATAGGCAATAAATTAATATTATGTGTT